TTACTTGACATGACTATGCTTCACTGAACGTTTTGTATAATAAAGCTACCTATCTCAACATTGAAGGTGTCACACGCTTCTCCTTCACTGTGTCTTAACTCTTTAATATACCACACAAATAATCTTCCGGTGTCCCTTTGTATTTATGATGGAATGGATATACTAAAGGCTTCAAGATTATTCGACTATTTCTCGTACAAAAATTAATCTATACCCGTGTTAAAAGGGTAATCATGGAGCTAATATTGGATGTTCAAAGGGTAATTGTTCAATGTCATTGTTTTTCACAAAGCAACCCTTCCCTTATTGGAGTTATTGTTTTGTGCGAAGTTGCACGTGTGGCATACGAGTGACCGTGCACACGGACGGAGAAAGCAACCGAAGGGTTAATGTCGGTGTTGTGATGAGAGAAAGATTGCGTGCATGATGAAAGATTATGCATATAAGATCATAATATATGACGTGGATATTGAAAGAGGGGTTAAGGTAAGGGGATAGATAGAAAGGTTAAAGAAAATGCAAAAGGGGGGACAAAAAAAAGCAATATTAAATTGTACACCAGTCCTGCAACAAGCAAACAATATAAGAAATATGGGAGAGAGAAAGAGAGAGAAGAATGAAAGTAAAAAGAGAGAGGCTGATATATGAAGGAAGAGAAAGAAGGAAATGGAACGAGAGAGAGAGAGAAAGAGAGAGAGAGAGAGAGAGAGAGAGAGAGAGAGAAGGGTTGAGGGATAGGGGAAAGAAGAAGGATTTAAGAATATAGAGATGATTATAGAAGGATATCGGACTTGAAAATAATGAGAATGGGGAATGCTGAAATAATAAGACCTGTCTTTAAAGAGAGAGAGAGATTTTAAGAGAGGCGGACGGACGGACAGATGAGCTATGTTACACACATGGGCGTAAATCCTTACGTAATACCTATTGTTCAGGGGGGATTAATGAATAGATCATCCCCCCTGAACAATAGGTATTACGTAAGGATTTACGCCCATGGTTACACAGAATAGCTCAAAGAGATAAAGAAGAAGAAGAAGCTGATGATGATGATGATGATGATGATGATGATGATGATACAAAAGAAGAAAGATCGGGATATAGAAAAGACAGAAATGGGATGATCGAGAGATAAGACCAAGTAAAGATGAGAAAAAGAAAGATATAGTAAATGAATCTTGGGGAGACCTATCTGCTGTTCAAACTATAATGGCCTACGTCAGTCCGCAGCTGGCCACGACCGAAATGCAAGGTTAGAGTATGATTCAGCAAACAATTGTTTTCTTCTTTATTTAAAGAAAATCTGTTTATCCAGGTTAAAGGGATAGTTGAGTTCTGTTTTCAGACAGCAAATGCCTTCAAAGTGCATGGTTGTTGCTCTTATTCTTATCTATGACATTTCTAGTATCCTTTGAGAACCTAAAATTGCTATGAAGGTCATTTTAGACCCCAAATGTATGAAATTTAGCCAATACGAGCATACCAATTCAGCACCACTTTAAAAAAAAACATGGTGACCTTCAATTAATTATTTAATTAAAAATAATACATGGGCCGGCTGGTTGTGCGTAATATAAGCAACACGAAAATGCCAACAAAAAACCCAACATCAGCATTTGCTGAAGTACAGCGTAAAAGGCGTTATTTCGTTTTTTCCAACGGTTTTTTCAAATTGTTCAAAATATTTGTGGTGGTAAAGAAGTATTAGAAATCATTATATTTCAGCCGTCTCTGAACCGACTTTGATCAAACAAAGATGATTTTGTCATTTAAATATTATGTTCTTTCAAATGTGACACTCAGTTTTTCATTGTCTCACAAAAAAATTATTTTGAGTAGCGCCCTCTGCAACAGAACTCAACTATCCCTTTAACCCTTACTGTACTGGGCTATTTCGAGCACTCTCTGACTGGGGGGGGGGGGGGGGGGGGGGGGCTGGGAGGCCCCCCCCCCCCCTATGATCTCGGCCGTCGAATGTCCGATGAACGCGAAAATTTGCGTGTTTGTAGATATTTACGTAAGGAACAAGATGGTATAATTAGTTTTTCGCTAATATGCAAATTTTTTGTCGTTATAGCCTAATTAATTATGCAAAATGCTAATTTTATGCATTTTACAGAAAACTCTACATATTTGTCCGTAGAATTGTGAAGAATCTTGAAAATGTATTGAATAATTGTTTCCTTCATCTCAAATTTATGAGGTTTCATTATTTTTATGATATTTGAAAATTAATAGGTTAATTTGCATAAATTATGAATATGCATTCATGAATATCAAATCCGGAAATATATATCGGGAACTAGAATCCTTACAAAAATTGTCAGACTCACTTTTTGAATGTTGTTACTCATTATTCAAATGAAACTTCTTTTCTATCACAAAAAAGTTATTTGAAGTAATTAATAATGATAATTTATGCAAATTTGATGCGATTTTCAACTATTTATTTTCTTATGTATTTTATTGTTTTTTATTTCTTATTATATCTATTGTTTTATTTCTAATGTATTCTTTTGTTCTGAAATACATCAAGTTACTTTGAGAAACATATAAAAGCAATTTGATATCAATTCATAGCTTCACATTTCTGCTTGTACATGAATATATGCAATTATAGCACTTTTTTGATGACATGCGCATACTAATTGTTATGTAACACCTTACAGGTATATCCGATTTTTACGAAAATGGTATCAAAATGTGCGTAAGACTTGAGGGAAAAAAGTCATGAAACGACAATTCAAAATTCCGAGCGGTTGCGACGCAATCTACGAAAATGTCGAGGGGGGGGGGGGCCTCCCAGGCCCCCCGCCCCCCCCCCCCAGTACAGTAAGGGTTAAGGGTTATACAATCACACTATTAAGTGAACGTTTTCTCCGACACCTATTTGTTTACATTTCGGTGCGTACAGAATTTGAGACTATAATGAAATACAAATAACAAAATTTAAAAAGTCGCGTCATTCTTGACACACAATTTTCGGGTTGCACAGAATTTGGAGTTTATTGTGCAATATTTCAGGGTTTTTTTCCATACTGGAAATGGGGTGCAACGACCATAAATGGGAATGTCGCTGAAAAAAGGCATCGATATAAATCAATTGAAAAAGTTTGAAATTAATTTACAGCATGTTCTTTTAGGGATTCCATGCGCTGTAGGTCATTACTCGTTGACTCCTTACCTGTCTCACAAACAGCAAATTGGTTGTTCCCCCAAGAACTATCCCCGTTCTCTCAGAGAGTCTTCTGATGAGATAAATTTTGTGATGATGATTTTTTTCCTCGCTACATTTATTCCTCTGTTATTTTTCCAAATGCGTGACAGCGCAGATACGGCGGACCTTACAACTATATATAGCTGTCCGCTAATACCCCGTTCACACAGCTCTGTGACCTTACGAAGACCTTGTCGATCACCCCGAACTGAAAAAAAAATCAAATCGGGGCATTATCGACTTCGAAATCCAGCAATTTGGCATTTTTAAAGACTGTACATCACGACTGTATTGCGACGATTCTACGTCAAAAGCCTGCTGACTCGCTGCCACTACGATTACACCTAGACCAATGCCGACCAAGCGGTTGTTTTTACTACGTTGTTACAGAGACTTAGAAGACTGTAGGACGATGTCGCTACGCTGATGGCGACCATATTACACTTCTAGTACGATTTGTAGCGATGTCTATAAACGGCTCGAAATAGTTGCCGACGGTGCTGCGTTTTTATTACGACCACATAGATCTTACCACGGTGCTACCACACTGCTTATTTGCTAATGGCGTTCCCACTACGTTCTTTATTAAGACTTTGCGCCAATTTTTGATGGCCACGACCCGGCTACGCTAATTTTGTGCACGTTCAAAATAAGCGTGCCGTGCAGCTTCCCGACCCGGTGATCCCACCCCGACCAAACCAGGCTCGTGGAGATCCTCCCACGTTTGGCCCACGATTGGCCCCGATTGGCCACGCTCTCGGCCACTTTACCATCGTAGTAGAAGCGGCGTCGACTGTGTGAACGGGGTATAACGGACGGTCCAAGTTGTGACACCCATTGTACACTGGGCGTCATTCATTTTGTCTGAAATAGAAATGCATTATAAGCGACTAGTAAGGTCATTGACATGCCATATGAGTGTGGGGACATGATTGAGAGCAATTCGGCAATGTACACATTGCGTTAAATCAACTGAGAATGAGCCTATTTGCTTACACAGACTTTACAGATCACGCTCCAAAGCCTCAAATGTAAGGTCAATTTTAAAGGGGCCGAGGAGTGGCAATTTTTTCCAAACGGTAGATTTACTCTAATGGTAATGTTTTTCTTTTAACATTTCCAAATGATACATTCTCAGTACGACCGATTCCTAAAAATAAAAGAACAGCTTTTCAATATTTAACCCGAAACTCGTCAATTTGACCATAGTTCAAATAACCTTTAATATCGTAGATTCAAACTATAATCATTTCTATTCAATCATTTTCCAGTCATGAATAGATTCTCGTGTGACCTTTTCTTTACAAATTTTAATAGATTATATTTATCTATGAAGGGATAAGGTTGACAATGATTTGGATTTAAACTGTTCTTTATTATCTACACCATGTTGAAAGTGCAAATCCACCATTTTTAAGATGCTGTTCCTCCTCGACAAATTACATCATTAAGTTGCCTTTAATAATTATAACAATTACTAATCGAAATAACAGCTCCAGTACAACCTGCATTAATCGCCCCCTATACGAAAGAGACTGCAGCAACAATAAATGGAATGCTATTTCCAAAGTGTGATTTAGCCAAAATCATGCAGAATTATCCAGGGTAAGGGTCATCATTCGAAATGTCTACAATAGATCTGTCTTTCGGGCACGCTCATGGTTATTTACTTTTTCGGGAGTACAAGTTCAAAGAAAAAAGAGAGAGAAATATTGCCATTTCATTGTTTACTTAGGGCCCAATACTAACACTTGGCAGTTCATCCTCGGTAATATAAAGGGGCTTCGTTCTCTGGCGAAGCCTGCAACAAATACTACCAAATTTTACCAAATACTACCAAAAATTACCACAAATACTAGTAAGCTGATTTCCAGAATGGCTTCACGCAACCAGGCTACTATCCCTCTCGTGACGGCTGATGAATGGTGGGGAAAATGCAAGAAAGTCGATGTTTTAGGTTCGAAGATGTCCTATTACGACTCCGATCCCCAGAATAGGAGCGGTAAGCATACGGCCGTGTTCCTGCACGGCAACCCAACGTCTTCGTATCTTTGGAGGAATGTGATACCCCAAGTAGAACCCATCGCCAGGTGTCTGGCTCCTGATCTCATTGGGATGGGAAGGTCTGATAAGCTGGCTAGCCGTTCCTACCGCTTCTTGGATCACTACCGCTATCTGTCAGCCTGGTTTGATGCCCTCAAATTACCAGAAAAGGTATTGTAGAAGAATAAAGCTTATAGATGATATACTCAATGAGGTTTTATAGTGTGCAGATAGTATATAACAGTGAAGGCATTACTAAGAAATTTCCACGCAAGGTACCTTGGAACAGTCATACGCCCGTGACCCAATCAAAAACCGTTCGGACTATTTCGGTTATTTATTGTTTTATAAAATGGTGACGAGGATATCACTTGATGAATTCTCATTTCAAATAGTATAGATCTAGAGTCGACTGACAAATTTAGATCTGGAGGGTTAAATGGCCGGTCATTACAAATGCAAGTGACCGTTGGATTAAGATTTGATACATCATCATACATTATATTATAAAAACCTCTTTTGTTTACATTTATTTTTCATAAAAGAAATATACGAGGACTTGGATCACACCCAGCATTAAAATTTATTTCTGGAATTTTTATGCCACAAAAAAAAACTGCCCCGAATCTATTTTTCAAGAATATATTTGTGCCTTTGTAACATTCGCGCAATGTTTTATCATATACGTCGACATAATATGTCATGTTTTTAAAGGTAGTCATTTCATACTTTGTTACTTTTACAGGGTTGTATGTTTGACAGTTGAAGCAAAATGATTAATACGAATTTCAATTAATAATACATGTATTTAACAGAATTCAGAAAATGATCGATGATTCTAACAATATGCTAACGCCTACAACATCATTAAACGTGCAAATTTTGTTTTTCGTTGAAGGAAAAACCTGGCATTTACAAATATGATGTCTTCTGCCTATGAAACATATTGATGATAAATCCTCACCAAATGTTTATTTTCAGATAACCGTCGTATGTCACGACTGGGGTACAGCCCTTGGCCTCCACTGGTGTAGTGAGCACAGGGATAGACTCGAAGGTAAGCAATAAGGGGCGGAGGGTAAATGTGGTATAAATCACCACATCGAACACTCACACACAAACTCAAGAAAATCTAGAAAATAGGAAGTAAAATACTTTATTTTATCATCTTAAACCATGCTTGAACTTTATTACTGATCTTCCATTCCAACAACCAGACTCTGCCTACACAAATATGTTCATGAATATACATTTATAGTAAGTAGTTTTTTCGTTTAACTAAGCATAAGGGTGGATAAGTCACTCGCTTTCACGATCATACATCACAGTCTGTTGGAGTGTTAGTTGATAACATATCTCCACTTGCCTTCCCTCTTCCCATACTTATACACAGACAAGGGTGACTCAAAGATTCTTTAAAACGGAGGGGTACCCTCTGATTTTTTTTAAACAAGCACAAAATTTAAACAGGATATCATATTTTAAGGTAGTTTTTTATTTAAATATTATCGGGCATATACCCAAAGATGTTTTTCAGTTTTCCAGATACTCTCTCGGACAACAAGAAAGAGAAGCACATTCTTTGGCAGACTTAACAAGTATGATTTTCACAATTTCTTTAGCTATCGTCCACATGGAAGGCGTCTTAAAGCCAATGACTTGGGACATCTTCCCCGACTCTATGCGGGACATCTTCCTGGCGTTGCGCTCGGATGCCGGCGAAGAGATGATCCTGAAGAAGAACATGTTCATAGAAACCATACTTCCGCTCGCCATCAAGCGGAAGCTTCGCCAGGAGGAGATGGACGCTTACCGGGAACCGTTCAAGAACCCTGGAGAGGACCGACGCCCTCTGCTCACATTCCCCCGTCAAATCCCCATCCAGGGAGAGGGCCCAGAGGAAACGGTTGCCATAGCTACGGCCTACCACGCCTGGATCAAGGGGACTGCGGATCTTCCAAAGTTTTGCATCCTCGCAACTCCTGGAATATTCAGTGAATGGGGCACGGGGATCACGAAGGATTGGCCGAATCATAAGGTAGTCCAGGTTGAAGGGTCGCATTTCTTTCAGGAAGATTCACCCATCCAGACTGGGGATTACATCAAGGAATTCTTATCAAGTGTCTTCAAATAGGTGGATCATAATTATACACCAGGGACAGATCTAAGTTTTTTTTTTAGAGGGTGTAGTAATGCAACAATCGGCATAACAAATGTAAACATACTTAATACATAAATTACATACATTCTATCATACAAAGGCGGTTGGGTAACCAAGACCCCGATCTTTCCTTCTCGTTGTGGAAATCAATATCCCAAAATCTCCTTTTCTTCTTCATTGCCTCCTCTTCCTCCCCATCTTTCTTCTCCTTCGTTTCTCTCTTTCTTCTCTTGTCGGAAGTTTTGAGAGTATTTGGACCACCTTTTTTCTTTCGTAAAATGATCTTTTTTACCAAAGATATTATGATCTTAGATGTTTTACTTCTGTCATTTTTTCTCTGACATGTCCCCATTTTACTTCTTAGGAGGCCGGCCCAAGGACATACAGTTAGCAATATATCCATACCCCTTGTATTTACAACAACAAAATATGTTTTGTTTATTGTATCAACTCATAAATGAAACTTGGACTTTTTGAATAGAGGAATATCTTGAATACTGTTAGAAGTAAGTTTTAATTTGTCACATTCTCAAGACATATAAATCTTGACAAATCAGTTTTACACATACTTAAGAAATTACAAAACTTGGTGATGGTATATATATACAATTTCAATTTCAAAGTATATCTATTATATTACTCTAATGAAACAAAATGCTAAATTTCTATATACCTGTATCGCAAATATATGTTGTCTGTGTTAAATCAATAATGTGATTTTATTTCAAATATAAGGTAATGGCAATTTCTTTTTTTATGCATTTTGGGAGTTAGTTTGTTCGTGTATTTATTAAGATATAATGTGTGTGGCTTCGAGTATACAGTAGAACTTTCTTGCACAGTGCATTGTACATGCTCTATGAAGTTAGTTTTGTGCTTACAGTAACGCACTTTCGATTAAGTGATCAAATATGGGAACTGTGGAAACTTTTACAAGCTTTTTTAAAGAATTTTGTAGTAGGGAAGATAGAGTTGAGAGAGAGAACATGGGAGTGAAGAGATTGAGGGAGAGAGAGAGAGAGAGAGAAAAAGGGGAGAGGATAAGAAGGAGAAATGAGAGTTAAACGCTAAAGGAGAGAATGAAAAAATAAGACAGAGAAAGACAGACAGACAGACAAAAGAGAGAGGGCGAAAGAGAGAGAGGGGGAAAGAGGGAGAGAGACACAGAGACAGAGACAGAGAGAGAGAGAGAAAGAGAGAGAGAGAGCGAGAAAGAGAGAGAGAGAGAGAGAGAGAGAGGGGGGGAGGGGGAAATAGAGGACGAGATTTACAATTTAAATTGGTAAAACATAGTATAAAACACTCCCATAACGTCTTCGTAATTAAAAGAGACGAGATGTATACCAACATCTACAATTAGACATATTTAGAAACATGAAGTAAGTCTTTCTTTTCTGTCTTGGTTGCAGATAATAATGGATCTAAATGAATGTTAAAACATATCTCATATTCCCTGATAATTTTGCCCGTGTTGACTTAGTAGCGGGATTTTACGCGGCCATTTTTTTTCTCGAGTATCATCCTTTTTTTTATTCTTCTTTTCTACGTTTTACTATTCGGTTTCACAAGGAAACTAAGTATGCATTCCAATAATCCGTAATTCGTGTTTGTTTATTAAATGGCGGGATTTAATGCGATCAACATTTTGCCAGTATCGTTTTTCATAAGCAGACTGTAAAATATAAAGACAATTTACATATGACATGAGAAAAGATGACCTTATATTGAAAAACAAAACGAAAAATTTCAAAATTATCTGATCAGTGACGTAAAGGCCTTGCATCTGGAAAGGTTAGATGTTGTAAATTTATTTATGTATCTATTTATTAAAAAAACTTTTAACAGGATAACATTGATCAGCTCGCAGGCTGTTTTACATAATGGTCCTGCATATAGAAGGAAAATACAAATGTATGAACTGACAATAAGAGTATTTACAAGAAAAAACTGCAGTTGTATACAAACGTTAAAAATAGAAACAACATAAATAGGGGGAAAAATATTAGGAAAAAAGGGAAAGGAGAGGGACGTGGGATATGCTTACATCTTGATAAAAAATAAATCGATGGAAAAGTGGATCTATAATTTTACAAGTGTAGTATAATCAGTTAGAAAATGAAGATACAAATAGAACAACAAATATCTTAGCAGCAACACAGGCCTCGACCAAACAATTATATAAAATAGATCAAGTATACAGCCTATTATAAGTATATGTAATTTTCTTGATAATAGTGGTGGGCAATGCTGTAGTAATAAAAAGAAACGGCAGTGAACAAACTGTATCGATTATTAAAAGAAGATTTGTTTTTATATTGGTGTGATAAATGATAAATAACACCGAAAGGCGTCTCTACTCAAGCCTAAAATCATCACATGAAATTATCATTGGATTTTAGGTGAAGCATGGAAATACCTTTATAGTGTATGAGTTACTGAAGTAAATGAAAGAGAAAAGGCTAAGGTCCCATTTTTTGCGTTTTATTTGTATAATGACATAACCGACCTTGTGTCAACATTTCATAGGAATAGTTACCATGGTTACCCATGTTACATACCGTGCAAAATATGAGTTTTCCTCCTATAAGAGCTTTCCTTTGGAGCTGTTATACTCCTTTCAAAGTATGTCACAATTCTATCTGAAACGTGCTTTGATTTATATTACGCATCATTGCAATATTATGAAAGTGGCATGAATTTTAAAATAAAATTGAAATGGATTTAAAATTGAATTGAGAATTATACCCACCTATCAACTGATTTAAGGACTTCTCATTATTTTCCATTGATTTATTTTTCTTTCCAATTAGCCATTATCAATTTATTATATATTGTTTTGTTACGTCATGTATGTATATGAAAATTCGCCTCCGCATGCCACACCGCGCCCCTTTCTGTTTGACTTTATGTACGTATCATGACATGCGACAAACCGAGCAAATTCTTATACGGGCAATCATTTCAGAGTTCCAGGAGCAGTGTGAAAGGTTTCGAGTGTCAACTGATTTTCTACCGTATCTTTACATATATAGGAGCAGGAGAACGTGTAAAGGAATATGGCATCATGCTTCCAACTACTGCAGATATGATAGTAGAGGGAAGCTAGACGATCTATCTACTTGTAGATACCAGACAAGAACTCACGGATGTAATCCCCGATCTGGATGGGGGAATCTTCTTGGAGGAAATGATGCCCTTCACATTTGACCATCTTATGATTGGGCCAGTTCTTGGTGGTCTTCTCGATCCAGTCACTGAGCAACCCGGGAGTGGCGTGGACGCAGAGTTTGGGCAGATCGGCAGACTCCTTGAGGAAGGCACTGTAGGCTGTCGCTCTTACGATCATGTCATCCGGACCATCACCCATGATGGGGACCTCGCGGGGCCAGGTTAGGGTGGGGCGTCGGTCCTCTCCGGGGTTCTTGAAGGGCTCACGATAGGCGTCCATCTCATCCTGTCGTAGTTTCCGGATGATGCCGAAAGGGAGGATCTGTTCCACGAAGATATTCTGCTTCAGGACCATCTCTTCACCGGCCTCAGAGCGAAATCCATGGAAGACCTCCCGCTTGGTGTCATCATTGAAGAGCTCCCATCCCGGGAGGGGTTGTACAATACTCTCCATGTGGACTAGACCTATAGAAAAAAAAGGTACACAATCTCAATCATTCATAACTACTTTCAGGGGCGGAAATCCGGGGGGGGGGAGCGTTGAATAATGCAATAAGTGTATATATTCAAATATACATGTACAGCAAATAATGAGTACAAGGCTACAACACAATTATTCTGAAGTGCTCTAAAGTGCAAAGTCCCACCTAATTTGCAAAGTTTCACAAAAAGTATATACATGTATACTTGTGAGCTTTGCTCCCTTACTAGCATACAAGTATATTTAATTTATGTTGGTGCGAAAGTAAAGTAAAAAAAGAAAAGAAAAAAGGTGCTGTTATGAATGAATGCAGTCGCAGACTAACAAAAACATGCTCGCTTACCCAAAATAGAAAGCCAAGTAGAAGGAAAAAGAAAAAAGGCAGGCAGAGAAAGCAGTGGTTTGATAACATCAAAGAATGGACAGGTCTCACATATTCAAAAGCCAAAAGATTAGCACAGGATAGAAACAAATGGAGAAAGACAACAAGAAGATGAGCAGATGTGGTCACCAATCGCCAGCAACTGACGGTGGCAGCCAGGTAGCCAGGTAGGTACTCGCGTATCCAAGAATACGGAGGGGATGTGTATACATGTAATATACCCCTTTCAAGTTTCAAAGACGTTAAAGAAATTTAGTAAAACGCACCTACATCGAAGCCCGGTTAGCTCAGTCGGTAGAGCATCTGACTTTTAATCAGAGGGTCGCGGTTCAAGTCCCTCATCGGGCGAGAGTATGTCTTTTGTTGGGGGCCCGGGGGCGAGGGTTTAAGTTTGAATTTTTTTGTTTAAATAATTTTATCTTGATTCATAAATTGTTACACCTAACCTAGTGAGCACTTTTTTTTTTTTTTGGCCCCAAAAAATTTAAAAATTTGCCCCCCCACCAAAAAAGGTAAAAATCACGTTTTTTTCCCAGGGGGGAGGGGGGCCGGCCCCCCCCAACTGGATCCGCCACTGCTTTTGAATACGGGAACATATGCCCCTTTAAGTTAATTTTTAATCTTTTCTTGGCATCCATAATACTATTTTCCAAATGTACTCTTGTTATGTATTCAATGATTTGCTTTACTTTTGCCGAATAAATAATAATTCTAATAACTTTAATACTGACCTTCAAGTCGATTTCTATGCTCATTCGACCAGTGGAAGCCCAGGCCTGAACCCCAATCATGGCACACTATGGTCACCTGAAAAATAGAGATCACGTGAACTTTTCGTATTCGCTTTTAATTACAAAAATTAGAAATCGGGTGGTTTCAATAATTGATTGATTTCCCGCTTATAATATAAGATATATAAGCGCTAGATAACATGAAGAACATGTCCTTGTTTCTAATGTCAAAAGTGGATATTTTTAGAGTTCGGAAATGCAGTGTATACTATGAATCTTCTTAAAACAGAGCGAACGTTATTATTATTTAATTGATTAATCTATTATTATTGTATATTTTTTTTATTTATCTAATATTTATTGTTTTGCTTTCTAAATTTATGCATTATTTATTATTATTATTGTATTATAATCATTAGTTTTTTTGGCGGTTTGGGGAAGGGAAGTTTGCGGGGAGTCT